CTTGAGACTTACACAATCAAGTGGTCTTGCACCACAGAACAGCACTCGATACACCTGAAAGACGTATCACAATGGTGCTAGCACTATACTATGTTGGAAATTAAGCCTCGTTGGTGCCTTCCACTGCCTTCCGTATGCCTTCCCTTTCTTAGTATGTATAAGTGTCTTCCTGCATCCTAATTTAGTGCCTTCTTGCATATTAATTATATGTCTAGTCATTGTCTAGCTAGCTGGGTAAAAATGCGTTCCTCCATACTAATTATGTGCCTTCCTCCATATATAATTAAGTGGATAGTCGTTTCTTTTCATATGGAAGAACACAATAGGAACAATAGGCTTCCCTAGCTTGCCCGGTAACTAACTTGAGCCCAGTTTTCGGACCCTGTATTTAAAAAAATAGGAATAAGAGGAGCGATCACCTAGCAACGCGAGAAACGGCTTATGTCTTCTATTAAGCGCTAAAAAATCGGATATATAAACAAAATCATACACAAAGTGGTGATGAAAACTCTTTATTTCAATTTAGCTCATGTCTCATGTCTTCTTATTTAGCGCTAAAACTCGGATATATAAACAAAACACAAACACGCACAAAGTGGAGCTGAAAACTCTTTACTTGAAGTTTGTTTGACTATTACAAAAACCGTTTTCTTCTTTCTATCTCAAGGAAACGACTAACTATTGAGGTCTCAGCGTTTCACGCACCGTTAGTCAGTTATTTATGCGACTTAACAAGCCCACCGTTGAATACAAAGTCGTTCAGCTCTGTAGTATTATTATAGAAATACACACAAAAGAAAACAATTAATAACTTAACAAGGATCAATTAAAACACGCAACTAATCAATAAATACTCGTAATAAAACCAGACACGTTTCTTAAGACACAAGAACTCAATTTTATGACCCTTTATTAAAATAATAGCAAAAAAATAGATTAAATATTCTATTAAAATAGTCAAAGAAGGCAAGCTATCGTTTTTTTAACACTGCGCACAATGTTTTACTTACCCTCTCCATTTCCTTTTTATTTTTCTTCTCTTCCACCATTTTATTAGTTTCGTTTTTTATTCCCTCCTCCACAATTTTGATCTTTTCCCGCCTCCTCCTCATTCATGATTTCCCTCCCCCACAAGTTTTATTATTCCCCTCCTCAGTCTTGATTTCCCTCCTCCTCCACCTCCTCATTTTATTCTATATATTTTTCTATCCACAAATACATCGACCTCGCATCGACCCTACATCGACCCCATCGACTTTTTTTCAACACTGCTTCGTGAATAGTAAAACAATATACAACCACCTCCACATTTCTTTTTCCCACCACCACCACCATTACATTTCTATTGTTTCCCTCTGCCGTTTCACTATTCCCGAAGCAGTGTTGAAAAAAAGTTGAGTCTAGGGTAGATGTGGGGTCGATATGAAGTCCGTGTATTTGAGAATGGAAAAACATATAGAATAAATGAGGAGGTGGAGGAGAAGGAAAATCAAGATTGTAAAGGGAAAATAATAAAAATTGTGGAGGAGGGAAATCAAAAATGAGGAGGAGGTGGGTAAAGATCAAAATTGAGGAAAAGGAGGGAATTCAAGAATGGGGGGGGGAATAATAAAACTGTAGAGGAGGGAATAAAAGAAGAAAAAATTGAGGGGGGAAAATAATAAAATTGTGGAAGAGGAGAAAAATAAAAATGGAAAGAGAGAGGGGTGAGTAAAACATTGTGCGCAGTGTAAAAAAAATCGATAGCTTGCCATTTTTGACTATTTTAACAGAATCTTTAATCTAATCTTTTTGCAGTTTTCAGCTCCACTTTGTGTATGTGTGTGTGTTTTGTTTACATATCCGAGTTTTAGCGCTAAATAAGAAGACATAAAGCTAAATTGAAATAAAGAGTTTCATCACCACTTTGTGTGTGTATTTTTATCCGACTTTTTAGCGCTAAATAGAAGACTTAAGCCGTTTCTCGCGTTGCTAGGTGATCGCTCCTCTTATTCCTATTTTTTTTTTCAAATAAACGGTCCGAAAACCGGGCTCAAGTTCCTTACCAGTCTAGGCAAGACTACGCGAGCCTATAGTTTCTATTGAGTTCTTCCAGATGAAAAGAAACGACTATCCACTTAATTATATATGGAGGAAGGCACATAATTAGTAAGGAGGAACGCATTTTTACATAGCTAGCTAGACAATGACTAGACACATAATTAATATGCAGGAAGGCACTAAATCAGTATGCAGGAAGACACTTATACATACTAAGAAAGGGAAGGCATGCGGAAGGCAGGGGAAGGCACCAACGGGGCTTACTTTCCAACATAGTATAGTACTAGTGTTAGAACGTACAGCATAAAGGCGGATTTACTTTTGTTTTGCACTGTGCGCCAGTGACAATGATTGTTCGCCAATTTGTAGCATTTAATCGTCATCTGGTTCCTTTAAGAATTCAAGGTAAATTTCTATTTGATACCTTCTTAACTGAAGTTCTAACGAGGTCAAATTTCGAGAGCATTTTTATTCGTATTTTAAATCAAAATAGTGAATGTAACCATCTTTTATTTTTTTTCTTAAAATCATTAGTTTCCTTTGATCAAAATGTTTTGCGTTCGAACAAAGTTATTTTGCAAATGACATTCTGCAGTTGAGTTTTCTTTAAAAGCGATGCTTTGAATTTAAGAAGTTAGGAGGTTAACAGCGAACAGACAAAAATGCAACCTTAGCTTTGAAATACTTCTCTTGTTTGACCAGGTTGTTAGTTTTGGCAGAATACATATTGAGATAGTTTGGAATTAACTAGCTCATCTGACCTATATTATTTACCTTACCTCCACTGAAGAAATTCGCGCGTTACAACTAAACACTACCGACTTGAATGATATACGAGTCATGTATGTAGCACATTTAGCTGATTCATTAAAGGTTGCTTTGGGTATTGGGAATTGCGCATTGGGAAGCTATTGTTTGGTGGTCACTCAAGTAAAAATTGAATTGTTCCATATGCCTAAATGCCCAATGTCTAATGACTAATGAACAATTACCAAAGCAACCTTTTTTTGATTTAGCTGTATACCATTGAATCCACCCAAACCACCGACATTACCATTTTACAAGAGAGTTAACGGTTTCAAATGAATCACTTGATTCAATAATATCTTCGGATAGAGACACTTTATTGGCGCCTTTCGTTTAGAACGTTTCAAACCAAATCATGACACCGGGCTCAACGTTTATAGGACCGATAATAAACCCTTGATGTATTCAGTTCATTTTTCCACTTTCCTTTTCTCTACCAGTGGCATCACTTAAACTGGATATTTGACTGAAAGAATGATTCTGCTTTCAGAAGAAAACAGGGAAGTCTTTTTTCCATAAGAAAATCCGTTTTCGACGCGGGAAATGTTACTGACAGTACTTTTTTTCGATGTAAGGCATTTTAACGGGACAAATAGCCTCAGGAACCATTTCAGTCAAAAATTAAAACAGAAAAGAAAACACACTAGGAGCGGTGGAAGACTGAAATGTTGAAATACGCAAAAAAAACGTATTTATGACCAGTAACTATAAGTTGTTTATACATATTAATCACAAACACCCGTTGTAGCGTTGTAGCCTTGAGTGCTGTAATTAAATTTATGGTTGTCGAACTTTTTAGTGACGAAGGACCCCAAATAATCGAGTTTGCAAGGAAACAGTTTAGTTTAAAAAACGGGTAAACCAAATGTTACTTATTCTTATTGACGCCAGGACGGATTTAATAATTACTTAATCTGCAATATTATACATTTCATTGCATCATCAATTCAAGTGCTTAGTTGGATTAGGATACGGTTATGATTTATAAAAAAAAAACATTTAACTGGCTTTGCATGGGTCTGGGAAAAAACTGAAAATACTGTGGTACTGTTTCGAGGCATTTTACTGTCAGCAGTTCTTGTTAAACAAGATATTGCTGCCTGTTGGGATCATCAGGCCTCAGAAGAAAACATGGCCTTGAAGTTCATGGAAAAATAATTCAAACCTGATTCACACTGGTGAATAACTCAGGGCCTGAGTGGTGTCACAGTAAAGTCGGTTTGACCTGAGCCATTTTGTTCTTATATTTTATCTTTGCATATTTTCAGTTTTGGACTGGAAAAAAAAAACAAACAAAAAAGTTTTAAAAATATAATAAAATGCTTTGGTCAAGAAACGTCATTTACATTAGAACAATGTTGATTACATAATTATTTTGTAGAGTTGTGCCTTTGAGATAAACAATTTAATTTCATTGTAGTTTAAATGACGTTCAAATCTCAGGCAATCATGTTTGACAAGGAAGCTCAGTTCGGATTATAGAGAGAAAAATGCTTACAGGTTTATCATTTGTGTTTAAACAAGTACTTTCGTTTGTCTTGACTACCTCAAGCCCAGACCAAAAGATTTCGGTTAGTCTCTTTTAAAAAGTAAGCAGGGTCGTAAGACTTTGCCGAGGCCCATTCCGGATGATCAAAAGGACAGCCACCTGCACATGACTTATCACAAGTACTTTTTTTTGGTATTGGGTGAAACTGGCTTAATAAAAGGTGAAAGAAATCGATTGATAACCATCTTTTCCGTTATTTGGTTCATCCACAACAAGAAATCGAAAAGGTGCTTTATGTTCCCTTGCCACAGGAATACCAACATAAAAGCTTCCTATCTGCCACAATCATGGTTACCAGAGAAGGCTTTTTCACAGGCAAAAAGGATTTTGGTTTTTAACCGTCATAAAGATGGACCTATGCAACCAAAGGTTAGATACAAACAGCAATGTTATATGTGAGCTGGTTTCTATTTGCTATGAATATAAAATCAATAAAGTCTGCAATTGACCTACACTTGACGTCTTCTAGGTGTACAGTATGCATGGATTCAACGAACAAGACAATCGTTTTTATTTTATTATCATTATTATTATTATCATTACCACCATCATCGCTGTTATTAGCGAGAGGGACGGGTGGGAACGAGATTGACTACGGAGGAACAGCTTAGGAACAGCGTAGGAACATGAGATCTAAGGAACGTGTTTTGTTTAGACATTAAGAGCGTACATTATAGTCACAAATTTTGGGTCGTAATTGCTTTGTATGCTAATATATTGTGTACTACCTTATATTGAAAAATTAATTTGATAATATAGTAATTCGTACACTTTATGAACGGTGAGAAAAACATATCTTAAGATCTTATTTTTGTCTGTGGGTGGTACAAAGGCTTGCTTCAACAAAATGTTAAACGCAGTTTCTGTGCAGATGTTTTCTACGTTCTCCTCGCTCACAGAGCACCGCGAAGGTGGCCGATTTTCAATTGCAAGCCTTCAGTAGGATGGGCCTCTAAAGAAGATTATCACCGCTCATTACCCCGGAGGATTATCACCCCCTAGAGAGGATTATCACCTTTCACTACCCTGGGGCGCCACCAAGAAAGGATTATCACCTTTCATTACCCTGTGGGATTATCACCCCCTATAGAGAGGATTACCACTTCTCACTACCCCGGGGATCATCACCCTCTAAATAGGATTATCATCTCTCATTAGGGTTATCACTTCTCATTACCCTGGTGGATACTCCCCAGGGCGGATTATCACCACTCCCCATGCGGATTTTGGATTATTACACCTATACATGACCATGAATATAGCAAAAATGACTTACTGTCTATATTTTCAATGCTTTGTCGCTGACTCCCTTTTCCTACAGTAATCCCGGTTTATTTCTTTGCTTTTAGAGTAAAGGATATGGGTCCGGGGAGTATTACACGAAATCTCCTCCTTTACTGATCCGCAGTTTATGCCGCCGCGCCCTCAGAGGAGGATATGCAGCCATCTGTTTATTCATTGTCACACCGATGTCCTCTTTACGAAGAAAATTAATTTCTACAAACATTTCCGCTTCTAAAAGTCCTTGTTTGGCATGTTCAGTTGCTGAAAAGTAGAATAAATGGTACACATTTCTTGTAAGAAAAATGACGAGAAGCTTTTAGCGGTTTCTTCTTTATTTAAATGTGATGATTATATGTATTTCAATGCTCAAAATAATTCCACGTCTTAATTCCACAGCCTTAAAGGTTATCCACTCGTTGGGAATTTCCTTAAGCTGTTGGCCCTAAAAATGTTAAATTAAACAAATTATGATAACAAAAGACAAACAAATTAAAATAGACCTTAAGGCATTCTTTTACAAAAGCACCAACCAAAGGCGTAGGTCGCGTGACATGAAAGTGTTCTCGTGAGTGGAATCCTGAGGAGGAGCTCCCATAAATTTCGAATAATAGTGTGTCTTAAACCCCGATCCTGATTAACGATGAAACCAACCAAAATCACCCATTTTAGTTTATAGGGAGCAAGCACGCATTCCCTACTGATGGTGGAAGGTGAGAGGCCTTTTGGGGGCTAACTTGCCTTTATTAGAGAACGGTACCCAACGCGTATTCTTGTGGGAGTGGAAATTGTTCCCATTGCGAACGTTTACGAGATTTGGCGTGAAAACCCACTTTTAAGTTAAAGAAAGTTCCTGGCATGTGGCAGTGGAATATCTGTTTCTAATTTTAATCTTGAAAAGACGCGTGAGAATACACTACGATAATGAAATTTGTCTAGCAATCCAAGATGGCAAGAGAATAAAAGGTAAACGAGAGCGTCTACTAATTGAATTTTTAAACGAGCGGAACCGAAGGACTGCCGTCATAAGAATGATGTCACCTTGGTGTTGGTATTGGGACGTTGTTTTTGGATAGAACAAAAAAAGAAGTCGATGGTAGGGCTGCAACCAATGAAGGGTCAGATTCATAGTGCAGGTGACTTAACCCCTTTCTTGTGTCTCACCTTGAAGCAACATTTTCCTTTAAGAGCAATTTACTTCGTAGCAAATTCCTTCCCAATCGTATTCATCATCAGGCCCAGGGTAGTCTTCCATACATTGCTTGTAATCATCTGGAAATGTACATCCTTCGGGAATGTGTATCGGATCTCTAGTTTTGAATTCTGTATTAGCGACGTCATCTATTTTGATGAAAGGACCAAAAGGAAGTTTTTCAAAGTACTGAAAACCGTAAATTGATTTTGTGTTAACAAATGTAAAGATGAAATTTCCGCAGTGAATTTCAAAAAAAGAGAAAAAAATGTCCACAAATCTTTAATTTATTCTATAGCGGAACTTGACAGCTTATTCGCTCATTTTGGTAGGTTTGTTTCCTCTAGCAGCGGACCATTTATACCAACACTGCCGCGATATTCGTTTTCATTTATAGTCATAATGTTTTCATAATAATAATGCCAATCATTGATTTTCTTTAAAAGAGACAAGCATTAGAGCCAGAAACCCATTAAGGGTTATAGGGTTGTTGTAATGACCTAACAACAACCATGTGAAATGTATTGGACGCAAAGTTCTGTATCGATAGACTTTGCCTGTTTAGATATTAGAGAGTCCGTTTACTGGTTGATGCTGTTCCAAGTTCACATTTCTGTTGTTAAAGAGACTA